GCAGAGGCTCCCTGGCGTCCAGGCTTGTTCCTCCCCCCGCCGTGCGCTGGAGGTGGCGGGGCAAACCACCCGGCCTTGTCCCTCCTCTGTCGGCGCGCTGGGGGAGCGGCTGCCGAAGGCAGCAGGCCTCACCCGTCCACAGCGCCGCGCGCCAGTGGCAGCAGTGGGCCAAGCTGGGCGGGCTGGCTCCTTCCCCGCCCGTTCGAAGGCCCGGCATGCCAAGGCAGCTGGCCTCGCCCCTCTCCCCACCGGCTGAGCAAGCGAGCGAGTGGCACACATAGCGGTGGAGCGGCGGTGAGCGAGGGACGGCTGCTCACCATCTGTTCCAGCCGCGTGCGCGCCAAGCCAGCTAGCCTCATCCCCCCCCCCCAGCCAATGGTACGCCAGTTGCCCCGAGTGGCAGCCGGCGGGATGATGGCTGAGGGAGCGCATTTCCTCTCGCCACCCCATAGGCCGGCTGGTTTTAGTATATATATTGGAGTTTTAATGCATTTATTTATATCTTTGTTGTTAGCCTCCCTGAGCCCGCCAAAAGCAGGAAGGGTGGGACACAAATATAATAAATAATAAATAAATTTGCTCATCCTCAAAAAAGTATGAGGACTGCTCCAGAGAAGCCAGAAGGGAGTCCTTCAACCCAGAAGGTGCTCCTGCCTTTCAGCCCGGTGGTGCATTTTAAATTTCTCAGAATTTGAATAGCTACTTGGGAGATGGGATGCAAGATTGGCTTTTCAGGAATGAAAGTAAAACCACATGGAATCCCATGAGCCTGTGCGAAGGAGCATTCAGATCAAGAAGATCAACAAGAAAGTGTTCAGACAGTCAAATATATGTATAGTAGGATTTGAATCCAGAAGCACCTTAGAGATCAGCAAGATTTTCAGGGTATCTGCTTCCAAGAATCAAAGCTCCCTTCATCGGACATGAGTGGGAATGGAGGTCTGAGATCCTGACGGACGAAGAGAGCTTTGACTCTTGGAAGCAGATACCATGAAAATCTTGTTGCTCTCTAAGGTGCTTCTGGACTCACAAACCTAGACGTTCTACTGCAGACCGACAAGGCAACTCTCTAAAAATATATGCGTATATCCTTCAGTGCAGTCTAGGAGACCTCCCAGGCATTACAGGAAAGCCGGTGAGCAGAGCAATCCTTGCCTGTTGCTTTTTATCCATTCGGCTTTTTCTGATGCCCATAGCCACTACTTTGATTTCACAGTAAAGATGAGAGAAATTTCCTCTGAAGTGTTGTGTTTTCACACTTCCCACATATGGGGGGAGGGGCATCCACTGATGTTTACCTTTAAAGCACAAGGCAGTGTTGTGCAGGGCTCACATTTTCCAATGCGGCAGCAGATTCGCATAGTGCTGTGATCTCTACATTTTACATGCCCGTGGAGCTCTACAGCAGGGATCAAGAGCGAGCAGAGAGGTTTCAGGCAAAGAAGTGGCATGCAGAGAAGGGGTTAAAATCCCCCTCTTCCATGCTGCTTCTTCATTCTAAATCATCCACCCAGAAAGTGTTTTTCCCCCTTTAAGGAAATACCTGTGTGGGTTTAGCCATATGCATTTTCATGTAATGTATAATTAGACCCTAAAAGTAGGAGTGTATCAGAATGGTACAGTTGCTGTGCTAAATCAAATCAGAAGTTCTTCTAGGATTAGAGACAGAATGGTACATTGGGCAACATTAGCCAAGAAGCTGCCTCTGAGGCTGTGGTCACACGGTCATTTTGATCGGGTTTCACCGCTGTTCTCTCTCGCATTTAAAATTGCTGATCAGACGGCGGCATCTGTCTCCCGCAGCATAGTGGGCTCACTTGCGCAATCCCCCCAGTTCCCTAGCGAGTTTTCCTACACCTTGAAAATCAAGTACTTTCCAGATATTTGCGCTTTGAATCCGCAATTTCGATCTGGACAGCCATTTCTCGCAATGATCACAATTAGGTCATCTGAAGTCCTTCTCATGATTTTTTTACAAGCTCCCGTCGTTGTGTGCATGAGCAATCCTGCGCTGAATAAATGCAATGTATAAACGTTCAAGTGCACATATAGACTCCAGCGCTCAGTTATACATCACCGGTTAATTTTGTTTATACGGTTGGGGGGGGGGGGGGGAGCCTGCAAGAACAAAGTAGTACTGTGAGTCACAGTGGGAGCGGTGATTCGGCCATGTGTATATGTGTGAAGTCAATTTTTAAAAACCCAAGCCGTGTCACCGAAGTGGCGGTGCAGCTATCTGAACGGTACCCAGAGCCTCATTGTGCAATGCAGGCGGTTCAGGGAGGGATGTGTGGTCATCTCGACCCGAAAAAAAATATTCCCGATTAAATCTATAGTGGGAACAAATCGGGATAAACTTGCCGTGTGACCACATCCTGAGAAAGCCACAAACAGGACATGGTGCTAACAGCGATCCTCTATTTGCCCCCGGAATCTGGTAACCTGAGGTATATTGCATCAGAATGTGGAAGTTCCATTTAGGTTTGCACTTGATATGAACAATTTTTAAAGACATCTAAATAAGTATCAGGACTGCATCTTGTAGTGATGATTCCACATTGATTTAGCCTCCCCATCCTTTTCAGGAAAATTCTCCCCATCCCTCCATCGTGTTAATTAGTTTTTCCTGCATCTTTTCTCTCTCTGTTATATCCCCTTTTAAGATCAGGCAGTCAGCAATAAAAAAGTGTATAAAAATGTAGATTTTGATATCATTGTGACACTTGTAATTTTATTTACTACCCCTTAACATGGAATATGCTTTTTTTCCTTTGTAACTGCACAATGAGCTGATGCTCTTGGTGTGATACCACGTTCTCTTTCTAAGTCATAACCCATAATAAAACACCCAGAATAAAACTTTGTTGGCCTTAAAGGTGACACTGGCCTTAAAGGTGACACATAACTAGTTCAGGTCTTACCAGTATGTATGTAAAGATGGGCATCCCCCCCCCATTGTGTGCCATTGTATATTTTGGATCTATCTGCTACTTCAGTTGCCCTGTCTTGGATTCATTTGGACCAAGTTTGTTAGTGTAACTTAACTGCTGCTTCTCTCTGCTGTTGGTGTGCATGGGTGGAAAAGGGCAACTTTTAATGCACTTGCATCAAGTTGAGGAATTCACTGAGAGCCATGCAGGAAGATTGATTTACCTCTGCTTTTAACCTTCCTGAGGTTTGCAATGCAAATGTAATTAGCCTCTGAGTCCTTTTTAGCCTTCCTGAGATTTCATCACCCTTACAATGACAAGGCAGTCACAACTGGCTTCTTGCCAACATCTGGCAGCCCTGAGATGACTCCTCTGCCGTTCTACATATTTGCTTGGAAGTAACCCACATGCAACCCTTTTAAAATATGTATTTAGTGCGTATTACAATACAGCACAAATATTTTTCCCCTATCCATTCTTTCCAAGTTCATTATTAGCTTTATGGATAATTTTGACAGAATGATCTGATCAATATAATATCTCAAGCAGGCTCCGAGAGAAATTAGGGCAGGCTGATATTGAATATTAGCCCTTAGCTATATTATTTCAGGTGTGTTTATTCATAAGAACTCTGTAAGATCCCAGTCCATTTAGTCCAGCATGGCCACATTGACGTGTCTTTGGCTATTTATACTATTTCTGAACATGGAGGTTCTCTCATGGTTAATCCATCTTTCTCCTAATTCTGTTTTCCTCTCATAGCCCGACCAGTTATAATAACCGTATTGCTACTTTACCTGAGTCCTTAAAGAATAACACGTTTTAGTGTCTGTCTGTATGTGTTATGCAGTGATTCCGGATTAATTAAACCAGAAAACCAATGATGCCATCATGCATGATGAGGGAGCTTTCTCTTTCACCTACTAAGCAACTCTCTCAACCTCCTCAGCGGACCGTCCTCGCGTTACAGCAACCAAGCGAGGAGAAAAAGCGAGACTCCCCCTTCTTCCTCCCAAAGCGCATGCGCTCTCTCCGCAGTAACCGTTAGCCCTCTAAAACCTCTGAACGCCTCCTTGCCCCGCCAAGACTACGTTTCCCGTGATGCCCCGCGAGCCGCCGAAGACGGAGCGCACGCGCTGGGGCGGCCCCTTGCGTCATTCGATGCAGAGGGCAAGAGGGAGGAGGGTGGGCGGCTCGGTTGCGTCAGCACGCCTACTGGCTCTCCTCCACGCCGCTGTCCCCTCCCCCGCCCCAGAACGTTGCTGTGGTAGCGCCTGGGCGCCATGTTAGGAGGCCGGAGGGGAAGAAGCAGCGGCGGTAGCAGCGGCAGCCCCCACCAGGCCTAGCGAGCGGCTCCTTCCCCTTCCCCCCTCCCCGTGAGGACCAGAGCCGGGCCCGTATCATGCTCACGGCGCCCGCTCTCCAGGGGCGGGAAGAGTGACTGTTCCGCGGAAGAGGTGGCGGCGTTTAACCACAGCCGGAAAGACGATGCCGTTGTAAGTTGGGGCCGGGAGAGGGGGGGAGGTTGTCTCGAGCGTGCCCGGGGGAGGCCTCAGGAGAGCCCTTCGGGACGCCCGGGCGAGCTCTTCCGGGGCCGCCCGGCTTCCCCCGCTCGCCTTTCCGTCCCGTCTCCCGGCCTTCCTTCTCTCCCTCCTCCCCTTTCCTGAGGAGACGAGCCTCCCTCAGCCGCGTCCCCCTTTCCTCCCACGCTGCGGCTCGCTCTTATCTGGTCCCTGTCCTGAGGGTTAAACTTGAGGGCGAGGCGGGCGGCGCCTGCCCGACCGACCTCGGCCGTAGTCCCGGCGGCGAGGCTGAGGCAAGGGCCTGGTCGCCGGCAACTACGGCGGAGGATTGTTTTCTCGCTCACGTGATCCGTCTCAGCCTGAGAAGGAGGGGGGGGGGGTGGGGGTGCCTCTGTCTGTCTGTGGCCTAGGAAGCCGCACAGCCGCCCGCCCGCCTTTGGCTTTTTTTGGCTGCAGTCGTCCGGGTGGTACCCATGCCGGCCAATTGTGGGGAAGGGGGTAAAGAAAGGGGGGGATACCACTGTTATTGCTTGTTTACAAAGTTGTCCATCGGTTGCATGCTGGAAAATACCAACGGGCCCCTGTTAAGTTGGCGTGGAAGTGTTGCAGGTGTGTTCCCTCGCCCGTAAAGGAAAGCCCCCCCCCCCAATGTTCTAAGGAGATATGTCCCTGTTTATTTTCTGGGATGAGGTAGACGGGTCAGGATTATGTCCCCAGGACCTTTTAAACATTGTGCAATACTGGAAATTCAACTCGTTTCTTCCTTTGGCGTCCCCCCCCCCTTTGTTTTTGTTTTGGTCTCTGTGTGCTGGGGCTGTGCAGGGTTCGACAAGGAACCTTTTTTTTTAATGTTAGCACGTGCTGTTACGTCGGACTTATTGTTAGGCTCTTTGCATGTTGGTATAAGAAAATAGGGGTGTTGAAACGTGTTGAGGGTGCAGAAATGAATGAATCTAAACGAAAACCTTGGTGCTATTCTTTTCAATTGCTGTATATCCTGTACAAAATGGTTCTGTTCCAGTTGTGCTATAGTATAAAAACTGCGGGTGGTTGTACATTGATTTTTTAAAAGTGGGCTTTTGTCTTATGGCAAATTCAGTGTATGAATTTTGCCGTAGTAGTTTGTGGGATTATATGTTAAGTGAGTCATCCTCAACAGTTGTGAGTATACATTTGTTTGGTATTATGTATTGGATTTTTTAATAGTTGTATGGAGCAGTTGTTGATTTGTGATCTGTTGGTGAGGAGATTGGATGAGCATTTCCTTCTTTCTGTGGTGATTCCCCCCCCCCCCATTTTCTTATGAAACTTTACTAAACGTTTTCTTTACAGTGGGAGTTTTAAATAGGCTACTAACAAATGATTCTTTGTACTGTACAAGTAAACTATACTTATAATACCAAATAAATGGGATACATGTTGGACTTAAGGTAATGTATATCAGAGTGCTAAAAATGTATGCTTAGAATTAATTCTGGCATGGGCTTGGGTCAGCATGCCTGCAATTGCAGCCCTGAAAACATAGTTGGAATAAAAACTATAGGGGCTTAAGTGGTTTTTGATTGAGGTGTTGCTGACTTCAAGCTGAGTAAGGGAGCCCTCCTATACCAGCTTTTTAATATTTCAAATAAAATTGTAACAAAGTTAATTTAAAGGTACAAGTTGTATGTGTATAGGGAGGACACTTACGTCAGTAGAACTGTTTTGGGGCAACTGGGTGGATTGCACACTAACTTGGTTCTGTTTGAACTGTTAAGAGTTTCTTTAAAGAGCAGATTAATGCCTGCATAAGTGTTATACCTTGTTTTATAGTGGAATGGGCATTGCCATCATGCTTTGCTATTAAATTACTGAGGTCTAGGAATTGGGATGATAAAACAGTATTATAATGTCTGGAGGAGTAGTTACGTTATACTCTGATGTAGCATAACAAAACCAGCAGTTCAGTAGCATCTTCAAAACTTAAAGAATTTATTCTAACATAAGCTTTCATGGGTCAGAGTTTACGCAATAGAGGGGGGGGGAGTGAGGAGAATTTGCAAGGAGAGGCCATCTAGTCAAAAAGAAAATTCAATCAAATAACAGAATCAATCTATTCAGAGTGAGTGAGAGCCCTCCCAGCTGTCCTGTTCTATCCTATCTTGCCTATCTGAGTGGCATGATAACTCTTTGATTGGTTTGTGTTCTACACTGGCCTCTCTTTGTAAGCTCTTCCCACTCTTCTTGAACTCCATGTATTAATTTAGCTACTTTGGATGGACATGTCACACTTCTGATTGAGTTCTGACTCACAAAGGCTAATGCTGGAATAATTTTGTTTAGTCTTTTAGGTTTTACAGGACTTCTCTTCAGTATTGTAATGAGTACGTCATGAGACATTCATTATTAGGTCCCCGTAACTTTGAGGTCATGAGTCTTACATTCATTATTAGGTCCCCGTAACTTTGATAACCATGCCATAGCTAATCATAGATTTTTACATCTATCTACCTAATCTGTTTGAATTGCTCTCTACAGATATTGCAAATTAAGTGAGAAGGAATTGTGTGTGAAATCCCTATCAACTTAATCATATTTCTCACTCTCCCTGTACATGGTGTCCTTCTGCACTTAATTCAAGTGCCTGCATTTTGCCTAAATTGGAAGCTGATTATGCTCTTGGGCACTGATCCAACACAAAACATCCCATGCTTATGATCTTGAAATCAATAAAAGGATGTATTGAACTGCTGCTGTATTGTGGCATTGGATAACTAGGCCTCCATTACTGCTGCGCTAAGGTACTCTATTTGTAATATCCAATTTAGCATTCCATTGTGTGATACTAATCTGGGAGCAGAATTTTAGAACACATTCATAAATATTGCTCATTTTTGGCTCTAAACATTCCCTCAAGGTAGTGTTACTGATTTGCATGGTGGCTGAATTCTGCATAAATAATATTTTGTTGAATAGTGCCAAAATGTTTTGTTGGGCAATGTAACTCTTTTTGGAGCTACATTATGTCTTTTTACTGTAGCATCTTTCCATCTGCAATTATTTGCCATTCCTGAAAACCTTTACAAATGAAAGTACTTGACCAGTCATACAGTAGAGCATGCATTTCCTGCATCTGTAAAAGTGAATGGGCAGCAGATTTTTAATAGTGTAGCTATTCTGGAACCATTGCAGAGTTCAGTCTACCCATTTCCTAATATTATCAAGAACTTTTTTTTAATTCAAGAGGAAGAACAAAGTTTGAGTCCAGTGGCACCTTTAAGACCAACAAAGTTGTATTTGAGATATAAGTTTTTGAGTGCATGCACACAAAAGCTTATACTTTGAATAAAAGTTTGTTGGTCTTAAAGTTGCCACTGGACTCCAACTTTGTTCTGCTGCATCAGACCAACATGGCTACCCATCTGAATCTATCTTGAATTCAAGAGGGTCATACCAACATGGTATTTGAGGTATAAGTTTTTGAGTGCATGCACACAAAAGCTTATACTTTGAATAAAATTTTGTTGGTCTTAAAGTTGCCACTGGACTCCAACTTTGTTCTGCTGCATCAGACCAACATGGCTACCCATCTGAATCTATCTTGAATTCAAGAGGGTCTGGTTGTTTTGGAAATGGAGAACCTATTCAGATTCTTAGCTTCATTGGAGAAGAGGATGTCAGGATGGGTTGAGTCTATCTTTTGGACTTAGAATACTTCAGCACTATGCTTGGGGCTGGAAGTACAGAGTATGCCTTTATGGGCTTTGGAGTGCTTTTATTTCCAGTATACAAGTCCCATTCCCTTACATAATTGTACAAAATCAGTTGTGTTGGGCAAGGCGCCATGCTAGAGCATCTACTCTGTATGTAGAAGGTTTCAGGTTCAATTTCTGGCCTGCCTAATTAAAAGAATCAAGTTTGAAAAGTGGTGTGAAAGGTTGCTGCCAGAGACAATGGAAAGCCACTATGAAGGTAAAGAATACTGACCTTGGTAGACTAATGGTGTGTGTTCTGGGCAATAACTTTGAGGGTGCCAAGTAGCATCTTGTAGCTGATGAGTCTTTAGGTTCAGTCTAAGGCCCCGGTCACACGGAGCATTTGCCATGCTAAAGATACGGATGATAGGTGGATTTCCCGGCCGTGATCACACCACAACATCTGGGAAGCGTAGTGCTCCCGTGGCGTCCCGCCAAAGATGTGGACTAAAAAACTAGTACTTACGAGGTACTAGTTTCTGGACACCGTGGGGCAAGGGTGGGTGTCTGATCGCGTTTCCAGTGGAATCCCGTGTTATCTGGCGCCCGCCAATGTTCCTTCGCAAACAAGCGTGTCCCCCCCCAAGTCTCCACAAGATGCGCAAAAGTGCCCAACAGCGCATGCGCACAAAAACCACCCATTTGCCAAGGAAGCGGCGCCTAGCGATTGCCGCTGTGATCGCGCCACTTCTTTGTCGCACTGCAGGATAGCTGTGTGATCAGCACCTTACTCCCTAACCACGGGACCTCGATGGGAGTGTGATCGGGCGGCCGCACGTTATTTTGGTCCGAGGCAAACAGCCACGCTCCCCCCCGCATTTTCCGGCCCGTGTGACCAGGACCTAAGATGGTCTATTGACAGAGTCGGCTACACTGGAGTAACTGATCTGTTGTAGTGTAATCTGTCAACTCATTAACTTTGCCTTTAGAACCACTGTGGCAACTGCTGTTAGATGAACAGGTACCATGAGGCTGTTTGTAGTATTTTTGCCATATGCTGATTCTAGAGTGGCTTAGCATTAATACCACACTGTAGGTACTGGCTGCAGCTCTGAGCTTGTTTATACCATCTGCTATACTGAGATGTCAGTTATATTTGTTAGGATTTTATGTAAGTGGGAATTTGCTAGAGTTTTGTTGGAATACAGTGGAAAGTTTTCCATACTTCATTTGCTTGAGCTTGATAGGTATTTGAAAAAAGTGAAATGATCTTTGAAAGAGGTCTAATGGAAGAATTATGAACTTGGTTGTGACACAGTGAGGTCTTAAATGTGCAGAGTGGCTTCCCCCTCTTAAAATCAGCCCTTTTGTATAAAAGTTTCCAAGGTGCTTTTGGTACTTGGAGACGTAAAACTGCTTGTGATGGAGGGTGCACATCGTTAGTATTTGGCAACAACACTGTCCATATTTTCTCTATAGAACAGCTTTGTTAGTAAATAAAAGATGTAGACTGAGGCTGTATTCTTACAAAATACAACGTTTGTGTGCATATTTGTTGGAGAGCAATTTTGTGTACCTCTAGAAAATATCGGGCATCAAATAAGATTTTCTTGGCTCTGTTTCCCTTAAACTGGTATATTTTGTCAATGTGTTCTATGACATGTTAAACCATGGTCTCCTGTTATGCAGACAACCTTGAGGGGATCTTCATGCTTGCATGCTTCCCCTGGAAGCGGGGGGGACGGGACACCAGAATTGCAAGTGTGTTATATAGTCTTCTGTGAAAGCAGAAGTAACTGATTAGCTGCCTATCTAGAGATGTGAAGGGCCGGAAAAACCCGGAAAAATTCGGGGAAAAACCGTCCCCCGTCCCCCCCCCCCATTTTTTTCCTGAAGCCTTTTTTGTTTTTTTTCCGAAAAACTGGAAAAATTGAAAAAAGAAAAGAAAAAAAATTGATTATGGAACATTTTATTTTAACATGATGAATAAAATATTTTAAGACAAGGTGTTCAAATATTTTCCAAATCATTTCTAAAAAAATATATATGGTATCAGTCAGATTGATCTAATTTCTGTGCACTGAGGACAAGCAAGTCCTAGGTTACAAACTGAACTCTCCAATGCAAGAACAAGATGCATTTCTTCCTTTAGGAGGTGCGATTGTCAGAAGAAAATAAAAAAGTTTCAGTTTTGTTTTTGCATGTGGGTGGGTATTCTGTTTGTAATAATTGTTTGGATACACTATATTTTTAATATGCTAGTTGTGATAATTTCATGCCAAATAAAAATGTCCATAGTCATATTTTATGTTCCTAAAGTAACAGAATGACTTTCAATCTAGAAAACAAAAGAAATGCTAATGTAGCATTTTTTTCAATTTTTCCGAAAATTTCCGTTTCCCCCCTGCTCCTATTTGTTGTTGTTGTTCAGTCGCACAGTCGAGTCCGACTCTTCGCGACCCCATGGATCAGCTCCCGCCAGGCCTTCCGGTCTTCCGCCATCCTCTGAAGTGTGCTCAATTTCATGTTTGTTGCATCTATGACACTGTCTAACCATCTCATCCTTTGCCGTCCCCGTCTTCTTTGACCTTCAATCTTTCCCAGCATCAGGGTCTTCTCCAGTGAGTGCTCCCTTCTCATTTGGTGGCTCCTATACATAGCAGCAGACCATGGTTCACAATTTTGTCTGAGCTATGCCAGCTTGAGAGGGAGAGAGTTCTAAAACTCTTTGGGCTGGAGTATGAAGATGCTGTTTGCCTTAGCTAAAATCTGTGTATGCTATAATGGTCACAGAACACATTAAAGGAAAAAAATTGATTGCAAGCAGGCAATCTAGCATCGAAAAAGTGCAAGGGGTGATGGCTAACCATGTCACATTTCAGCATCTGTTCCAGTTTCCTTCTCCCCCCCCCTTCCAGTTCTTTCACTGTACTATTGTCGAATTCAGAGAAGGTATAAAGTGATCTGGTATGGGGAGATAGCAGTAGTGGTGCTTGTTTGGTACAGTGAAGAGTAGAATTGTATCTAAATTTAATGGAGGTGTGGTCAGAAAATGTAAGTTTTGGAGCAGCTGTGTTCTTGGTTAGTGTATATTAAAACACAGTATTTAAAGCTCACTTGGATTATACAATAGAATTGTTTTCCCCAACTTGTAATTGGTAGAAATGCTTTTGGAAGTTACAGTGTTATTTGTGAGAGTCCCTTGAACAATGTTTCAGAATAGGCTTGAATAGTCACTGTTTATTTAATGCGGTTTTTGGTTTCTTAAGCTTTTATTTTGCCGAGGAAAGTGTTCATTTACTTAATTTATGCCCCATTTTTCTTCCCAATGGAGGCCCAGAGTGGCTTGTAACAATTTTCCCCCTTTTCATCCTCATGACAACCCTGTGAAGTAGGTCAGGCAGAAAGTGTGTGGCTTGTCCAAGATCACTCAACAGGCTTTCATGGCAGAGTTGGGATTTGACCCTGGGTCTACCAGATCCTAGTCTGACGCTAACCACTACACAGCCATGCAGGCTGTGTAGATTTGGTGCTTTCTCTAATGCTGCTAGATTAGAAGGAAATACTGCAGAGTGCATGGATGCATATAGTCACTCTTGAAAATGTTAATATTGTGGCCTGACCTTTAGATAAGTTACCCGCAAAGATAATTTTGCCATACAGCATGCCAATAATGGTTTACTTCAGCATATTACACTGCTAATGGAGAATGAAGGGATAGTAGCATGTGGCAACACAGATCTTCAACTTTATGGTACGAAATGTGGTTTGCAAGTGCTTATTAGTCTGCAGAAATGTTGGTTAGTGCTGAGTTCTGCTGGATTATCAGAGAAACAAGTAATGTTAAAGTTTGGAAATTACATCCAATTCCTAAAGAATTAAAATGTAGGATCCCAAAATTCATCAGTTAATAATAAGTTGGACCCTGAAAGTTTGTAGGAGTTGTCAGAGGATTGGTTGCCTACCTACCATTCTGTGCCCCCAAAATCCTCCACTGAGGGATTGTTTATTTAAAACATTTGTAAGCTGCATTTCACCCTTGCAGAACCCAGGGCGATGTACAATATTAATAAAGCTTTACAAAAAAACCCTCCCCAACAATGATAAAACTCCACCATGGAAGTGAAGGTCAAAAAAAATTCACTGCTGCAAGAAGGGAGGCAGTGAGGAAAAGGGGGTATTTGTCATTTTTATCTCCTTACTGTAGCCTCCCTTGCTGCAGAACATTTGTATGTGTGTCCCCCAATCATCAGCATTTGATTTTAGGTGTTTAGAGGGCTGTAAACTTTGTCAGGCTTCAACCAGTGTCTCACAGTGGCTACGTTGAACTCCAGTGTGTTAGGGAATCCTCTATACACTTTCTAAATAGTTTGAAATAGTTATTATTTATGTTAACTATTATCAGCATAGTTATTCATTATAGAAAACAGCAAGAGTCCAGTAGCACCTTAAGGACTAACAAAATTTGTAGTAGGGTATCTGAAGAAGTGAGCAGTGACTCAAACTCATTCCCTGCCACTAATTTTGTTGGTCTTTAAAGTGCTACTGGACTCTTGCTCTTTTCTACTACTCACAGCTGTTAAATATGCATCTGTGACAATTAAGGCTGTGTCCCTGTAATCATGTAATCATGGTTTAGGGTGGGAGAGAATTTCCTTACAAGAGGGGATGGTGTAGAAGGAGGAAGTGCTCATTCTGAAGGCCAGGTTCTGATATTCTGGACTGCAGTTAACAGTGAAGCTAGTGTTAGTGCTGGCCAAAAAACTAGTCCTAGATTGAAGGTCAAAGAAGACGGGGACGGCAAAGGATGAGATGGTTAGACAGTGTCATAGATGCAAGGAACATGAAGTTGAGCCAACTTCAGAGGACTGCGGAAGACAGGAAGGCCTGGCGTGATCTGGTCCATGGGATCGCAAAGAGTCGGACTCGACTGTGCGACTGAACAACAACAAAAACCTTATTCATAGAGATTTCAAAGCTCTCTCCATGTTTAACAGCTAGTGTTCCTCTTATGTCGGTTAAAGCTACTTGTCTAAATATTTATAAACACTTGGCTGCTATTTAACGTTTGTATAAGGCTTGCACCCCTATATATTTATTTATCTGCGAATATTTATTTTCTTTGAGATTTTTGTTCTGGTGTTCTTTTGTAGGGGAGGCAATCTAAAGTGGCTCACAAAATGCCCAAAGTGTACATACAAACAAAGCAGGGAATACATAACACTGTATTCTCATCTGGTCCTGGATCATCTGGGCTAGCTCATGCAAAGCCAGAGGTTACAAGCGAAGGGCAGAGAGCCTCATGACTCTTGCCAAAAGGCTTATGTCTGGTCACACCTAGGCTTATAGACATATGAACATATGAGAAACAAATACAGTCCAGATATTATTTTGCTGCTACTAGCAAGATATTCCTATATTCCTCCCCTTGCTTCAGGCTGTTGGTGGGACTGACTTCTGAGTATCCATGCACAGAATTGGGTTGTCAGCCTGCTTCATTTCACACAGTGGTGGCAGAGCTCAGAGTTGAATTTCTGTAAATTCAGGATTGTATGTTTCTACTGTGTTAACTGCTTGAAGAAAAGTAATTTTTTACCATATCTTAACCTTCTTCATTGAGCTTGGCAGAGTTATTGTTTCTTAAGGGGTTGTTAAGCCAATTTAAGTGTGTGTGTCCAAAGGATTTACAACAAAGTTTACATCTTCCCCCTTTCCCTTCGTTTTGTTACCTCTACTTCTAAAGAAGTCTGCATAATGATTAAATATTCCATGTGTCTGAAGGGCAGTCTGTCTTATGAAAGTTTATGCTGCATTTATTTACTGCAACAGACTAATATGGCTATTTTTTGGGAATTGTGTTCATAATATAGTACTAGTTTAATGTACCGCACAAAGTTTATCAAGCAAATGCTTCCTAATCTATTGTTTGAGGTGACTTTAAGTGTTTTTTTCCTATGTCTGTTTCTTAGAATGCAACAAACTAATTTTATGATTGAAATGGGGTTTATTGTAATAATCCTGTCTTGCTTACCTTTATTAGTCCAGTTACAACCCAGGGATCACAGCAGACGCAGCAACCACAGAAGCACTATGGCATTACCTCACCTATCAGTTTAGCTGCCCCCAAGGAAAGTGACTGCGTGCTTACTCAGAAATTAATTGAAACCCTAAAACCTTTTGGTGTCTTCGAAGAGGAGGAAGAACTGCAACGCAGGTGAGTCTGATACATTCTATTTGATCTATGGAGCAATGAAAATTACTGTCAAGGTTTGTAGGGAGCTGTGAGTTGTAGACTAGTTTTTCAGATTATTTCTAGATCCCTGTGATTGCAAATTGAAGTTCTGACCAGAAATTCCATACTTTTGAAGCCTTATTTCTATCTTGAGTACAAATGTATATTTGCATTACTTGTACTGCTCATCTTTTTGATCGTTGTTGCTCTGCAGAAGGGATTCCCCCTTCCTTCCCTCTGCAGAACCCCCCCCCCCCCATTCCAAAAAGTCTTCATATGGGGATCGAATGGGGGCAGTAATTATCATGGTTGAGGATTTACCCTTATTCTGACGAGATATTGCTACATCTGAGGGTCTAAAGTTCTATAAATCTTTAAATTTGGTGAGTCTTTGGTTGGTTGGGGATGCCAGTTTAAGTCACTTTTTTGAGTAGACGGTGTTGGGTTTTCTTTTCCAGAAGGAGAGAGAAGGAAATCCTAGCACTCTGGACTTCCAGTTTTCTCTGATATGGCAGCTCCTTTACTAGTTTGATTGTGCCAGTAACTATTGTTGCTGTGGCCCCATGTTTATGTGAACAGAAGCATTACTTGCCATCACTGCCCTCTAGTTTCTAGGACTTATGCTTACTGAAGTAAACATATCCCAGTTATAAAAGTGAGAGCCAAACCTTCCATAAGTAAAATTGGGGAGACCAGTTCACCTTTGGTCACTCAGTAGTTCATCAAATCTACTTTGAAGGAAGGGTTGCTAATGTGTGAGCTAGTTGAGGTATCAACAATTTGATATGTATTTATAGTATTTGTATCTCACCATTCAGTCCAAGCATGGCCACCAAACCATCTAACAAGCAAGTCTAATTAAAATACACCATAAAACCAGAGCTAAAAATACAGAAGAAAGCAGATTAAAATATAAGGCAGAAAGGCGGGATCATTGAGGGACACAAGACAAAACCAAACCATTTTCATCTGTTGGTAGAAGGCAGTTATGTGAGGCATTTAGGTGGTAAAGCTGGGCTGCATGATGTGAAAAATTTTACCTGCTCACTTCTCTCATCAAGCTGCTATTAAAGGAATTGGCCAGGCCATTTTTCTCTCATGTTTGCAACCAATTCAGAGAGGTGCTGTGAGGATCAAATGGGAGAATTCCTGTGTGTGCTGCTCTGAACTCTACAGAGAAAAGATGGATTTCAAACTTGATAAATGATTCTGGAATTAGATTTAATAAGCTAAATAGCTTCTCAGTATGTGTGTATACTCTTGGACATTTAAATTCTCTTGTTACATTTCTTGGTTTGCTTTGGTGTAATTATGTTTCATCTGTAATCTGTTTCATTAACAGAATTCTAATTTTGGGAAAACTAAATAACCTGGTCAAGGAATGGATACGGGAGATCAGTGAAATAAAGGTATGAGTGTCTTTATGTAGATACGAAACTGGTTTCTTGAACTGAACTAATTTATTACATCTCTTTATTTAAATTTAAACGACGTGCTAAAAGTAGTAAATTTGCTGGCACTGATGGATGAAAAAAATGCTTGTTTCTGACCTTATATAACTTTTTTGTCATGAATATATTCTTGGAAATTAAAGGAAATCAGATCAGAGCTTGTAATTAAAACTGCCATGCCTCTATGGAGTAGACAGTTTGCTCTGTATGAAGAACTAATTTGTGCCGTACCAAGCTTGAGTATATTATTGTTTATTTAGAAAAACTAATAGAATGCTGTTGAGAAGGTAGTAGTGCTGTAGGTATGGCTCTGTATGAAGAACTAATTTGTGCCATACCAAGCTTGAGTATATTACTGTTTATTTAGAAAAAACTAATAGAATTCTGTTGAGAAGGTAGTAGTGCTGTAGGTATATATACACCACTTTTATAATTGCTGAATTGCAGATCTCTGCCTCAGCAACAGATTTGCATGACGATGTAACAATAGCCGAATAACTTTATCCTTACTGCTTATCAGTATCCCACGATTGAAAAAAGCTCTGATGCGTGACCGAAAGCTAGCTTCATCAGTTTGATGTGCTTCACTTGTCTCATTGGTTCTGCATTGCTTTTAAAGTTTAAATCTTCTGTTTTCTCCTTTAGAATCTTCCACAGTCTGTAATAGAAAATGTTGGAGGGAAAATTTTTACATTTGGATCATATAGATTAGGTGTGCACACAAAAGGTAATGTGCTTAATCTCTGTGTGTGCGAGAGAGAATATATTTTAAACACCGTATTAAACTTGTTTGTTACTTCAAAGTTTTCTTGGTAGCCAGTGTGGGATGCTGTATAAAAGCCCAGTAAAGAATGCAGAGAAATTTTCCTGTTGCAAGTGAAAGAAATCCCCTCATTGTAACAAAGCTTTTTGATAAAGTCATTGGTTGGAGGCTGCATCATTCTAATCATAGCAGAGCTACTTTCTAAATCTATCCAAATCTTCCATTACATTTCTGTAACAGCAAGTTCATCTACAGACTACGCTGTGATTGTGTACAAAAATATGGCTTTATTACTAACTAGTTGTAAACATTCCATGAAATGCAGTGTGCAGGTAACATGGTGCAACAGGTTTATGCCTAGTACAGTATAAAGGTCTCCTGCCAAGACAAGCAGTCTTCATCACTGTTGGCTGGTTTTTGGAGTCAACTCATGGGCAAGCCAATGATTGCATCCTATGAGCCATGAGTAAAAGATGCTCCAGGGTCTTTGTACTTGCCCCTTCCCACAACAGCCTCCTGAGACCTCTGAAAAACCTGTTTTCAAATAAGTTGCAGTTGAATGACTGCTATATTGGGGGGTGGGGTCAGTCTACTAGCACACAGGTAACATACTTTGCCTCCTTTGTTTTGGAGGTAACATTGCTGCAGTTTCAGGGACTTGGTATGTATGTCTGACGTGTGAAATACATCGAAGGTTGAGTCCAGTGGCACCTTTAAGACCAACAAAGTTTAATTCTGGGTATAACTTTTGTGTGTATGCACACTTCTTAAGATAAGTGAAATACAGTGTCATGTGGTCTCTGATTCAGGGTAGCACTGTGATCTCATTGGGGTATTGAATGAATGAATTAATGCAGAAAAATACACCCTGAGACAGACTGATTTTTATGCTAATTCTTAATATTCTTGAGAGCTGTATTGCAGTTGCTAATTATATATTTATGGGCTTTGATGTAAAAGTTGTTATGCTGAACATAGGCATGTGATTTAGTATTGTAGTGA